CACAAACTTTCTGAAGCTTAGAAAAGTGAAAGGGCTTGCTCAAGATAAATACAACTAATATTTGTAAATTATAAAGCTGGGATTTGAACCCAGTAGTTTATTCTAAGGTCTATGCTTCTTTCAGTATTCGGTATCATAAGCCTTGGAAAGGACAAAATAGAGATGTCCCTAAATTCTATGTATGTAGTTTTCTTTATTTGTTAGGCAGTGAAGAGTCACTGTTTTGAGCAATGGGCTTTAAATATGGTTGCAAATGTAGTTTTAGAATGATCTAACTAGTTGACAGTGATACTGCTTTGAAGCAGGGAGAGTTTGGGTTGCTGAAAGAGAAGCTTAGTGAGGACTCGGGCATGACTTAAGCATTCTTGAACTAGAGTCAGAATGATGAGAATGGGCGTGTTGTCAGTAGGGAGATATGGTAAAATGACTCTTAAGGATTTAGTGTGGAACTTGAGAATAGTTTTATATTGAGAGGAAGTTCACATAACAATATTAACCATGTTAAAGTGGTATTTAGTGTTTTAACAATATTGTGCAACCAGTACCTCCATTTAGTACTAAATCATTTTCATCACCCCAAAAGAAAATGCCACGCCTTTGAAGCAGCTGTGTCTTCTTTCGTCCAGTCCCTAGCTTTCTGTGTTTTTGGATTTACCTACTAGGGATATTCACATAAAGAAGCCTATTTAGGAGGCTTCTGGAAGTTCCCAGATAACCAGAATGAGAAGACCTTGACATTTGTCCTTGAACATTTTAAAGTGCCCCGCCCCCATACATTGTAGTAACTTCTTTTTAAAAATAATCATTTTAGTGAGGGCTTGTACAACTCTTAACACAATCCCTCCATCCATTGTGTCAAGCATATTTGTACATTTGTTGTCACCATCATTCTCAAAATATTTGCTTTCTACTTGAACCTTTGGTATTAGCTCCTCATTTTTCCTCCCTCATGAACCCTTGATAATTTATAAATTCTTAATATTTTGTCATGTCTTACACTCTCGATGTTTTATAGCTGACATTTTCATTTAGCATGTTTTCAAGGTTCGGCCATGTTGTAGCATGTATACCAGTATTTGTATTTGTCCTGTGGCTGAATCAAGTTCTACTCTAGCGTATATAATCCTAGTTTGTCCATGTGTTTAATCTGTTTGGTGGGCATTTGGGCTCTTTCTACCCATCAGCTGGTGTAAGTAGTGCTATTCAAACATTTGTAGGAATCCTGTTTTCAGCTTGTTTGGATACATCTTGAGCCATGTAGTAAGTCGAATGAGGAACTGCTGCTAGACTGCAGAGTGTGTGTACCATTTTACATCAACCACCAACATTATGTGAAAGTCTCTATTTCTCTGCTTCCTGATCAACATTTGTCATTTTCTTTTTCTAATAGCCCATCTAACATTGTGAAGTGAAAATATTGTCATTTTTATTAGCAATTTCCTAGATGACTAATGATACTGAGCATCTTTTTGTGAAGTTTTTTGGGCCATTTGTTTTGCTTATTTGATTTTGAGAAATGTCTGCTTCGGTCTACTTTTCTGTCTTGAAATTAGGTTGTTTGTCATTTTGTTATTACTATATTCTAAGAATTCTTTATATATTCCAGATACCAGCAATTTATCGAGTATAAAAATTTTTCTGTTCTGTAGGTTGTCTAGCATCCATCGATGCACAAAAGTTTTTAATTTTAATGATGTCTGACTTAAATTTGTTGTTGTTGTTGCTTGTGCTTTTGATGTCATGTAATAATACACACCCAAAGGCCTTAAAAATTGGTTTATTTTTTTAAAATGTACCCCTATGTTTTCTTATAAGACTTATATGTTGTTAGTTCTGAAACGTAAGTCTCTGATTCAGTTAGAGGTTCATTTTAATAATACACATGGAGCAAGAGCCCATCTTCGTTCTTTTGTATGTAGAGGTCCAGTTGTCCCAATACCACTGCCTGCAGAGATTGTCTTCCCACTGTTGCATAAGGATCTTGGCGCCCTTGTTGAAAATCGTTTGATGTTTTTGTTGTTGAAAATCAAACCTTTACAAATAGACATACAGGTGTATTTCAGGACTCCAGTTATATTTTATTGATATGATTTATTGATATTTATATGTCTAACATTATGCTGGTATTACACTGTTTTGATTACTGTAGCTTTGTGGTAAGTGTTAAAATTGGGACATGTTAGCCTTCCACAGTCTGCGGCTCAAAACTAAAAGAACAAAAGAGGAAACTGTCTACACATAACTAAATATTGTATATCAAATTGTAATTAAGTTCCTGTTTTTTTCCGCACAGCTAATTGCAGAAGGAAGATAAAGAGTCTTGAGAATGAAGTTGGGGATGTTTTTGTGTGCTTGGGTTCTAGTATGAGAGAAATAAACTCTTATTCCATCTAAGAGATAATTCATGAATTTAAGACAATGTTATAATTACGTTACACAGTTATTTCAGGGACTTTGGTAAGAGAAAAGATGAATGGGTAAACTGTCATGGAGTAACTAATTAAGTCCTTATTGGATTGTGAAAAGAGAATTTGCATCTCATGTCTAGACAGAAATGCCACCTAGAAATTTGGCATCTAAGTATAAAGGCTTAAAACACTATACACAATTAAGAGCCTTTTCAAATGATGCTTGAATTATTTTTGGTAATATTGCTTTATGTTCTTTTCTCACTGCCCCTTTTATTTAAATAGGAATTGGAAAAGTGAAGAGAAAACATAGCGTGCCAGACTCCGCATCTCCTGCTGATGACAGCTTTGTTGACCCAGGGGAGCGTCTCTATGACCTCAACATGCCTGCTTATGTGAAATTTAATTACATGGCCGAGAGAGAAGATGAGCTGTCTTTGATAAAAGGCACGAAGGTGATCGTCATGGAGAAATGCAGCGATGGGTGGTGGCGAGGAAGCTACAATGGACAGGTTGGATGGTTCCCTTCAAACTATGTAACTGAAGAAGGTGACAGTCCTTTGGGTGACCATGTGGGTTCCCTTTCAGAAAAATTAGCAGCTGTCGTCAATAACTTAAATACTGGGCAAGTGTTGCACGTTGTACAGGCTCTTTACCCATTCAGCTCGTCCAATGATGAAGAACTCAATTTTGAAAAGGGGGATGTCATGGATGTTATTGAAAAGCCAGAAAATGACCCTGAGTGGTGGAAGTGCAGGAAGATCAATGGAATGATTGGCTTGGTGCCAAAAAACTATGTTACCATTATGCAGAATAATCCATTAACCTCGGGTTTGGAACCATCACCTCCACAGTGTGACTACATTAGGCCGTCTCTCACCGGAAAGTTTGCTGGCAATCCATGGTATTATGGTAAAGTGACCAGGCATCAAGCTGAGTTAGCACTGAATGAAAGAGGGCATGAAGGGGATTTCCTCATTCGTGATAGTGAATCTTCGGTAAGTTGGTTTGCAGCGGTAAATGAAAACACCTGCGTAATGAAAATGTGAAATGATTGCAGAGTTACTCTGGTTTTTCTAATGTTGCCAGTTATTAATGAGTAGATTCCAATGTGTCATAAGCCCCTGTGAGTAAAAGTAGAGTTGTACACCACAGGAGCGTCAGTGGCTGGTTTTCCAGAATGAGATGGCCAGGCCTTTCTTCCGAGATGACACCCTTTCAGCCACTCAGCAACTCCTTTCTAAAGTTCTAGGAAACTAGAACATAAAAGTCAATGTTACTGCCCACAGTGTTTATTTTGAATAAAGTGTAGTCCAGGCAGTGATTCTCCTCTAGATGTGGCCTTGTCTACTTCTGTTTGTTTTGTATGCATGAAGTATGCATGACAAAATGGAGGAAATTGGACATTAAGTTCTTTACTGAGAGTAGACTGATGCAGTAGACAAAACTGGAAAGTCAGTTCTTAACTTACATGTGGTGTGCAATATGTAAGAATGTAGCTACTCTATGACATATCAATGATCACAAAAATGGCTAAAGTATACGACAATGTTTGTTATATATAATCCCTTTCTTAATACTGACAGTATTTAAATGCATGTTCAGTGAAAGGTAAATTATTGAATAAATTAAAGGTGGAAAACAAAGCTTTTTTAAAGCTATAAAAATTGAGTTGTCAGGTTAGTTATATGAGTTCTTTGGGGGACCACCTAGGGGCGCCCCCCACCTCCCCCAGGAGAGCAAGTCATCAGTGGGAGGGGAAAACGAATGGATTTCTTTAGAAGTCTGAGGTAACCCTGGCTTTCCAGAACATGAACAGTATAGTAGGGTAATGAGGAAGTGATCTTATAGTAATAAAAAAGATGAGCAGAAGTATGGGTTGCTTACCATAGATAGGTAGGTAGACAGAGGCGCAAGGTTTGAAACTTTGAGAGTAACAGTATAAGAAGAGGCTTCTGGAGTCAAAGGTTTAGAAAGTGTCAGATTAAAAAACAACCCAAAAATATAAAATATCTTAAATGCAGAATAACAGTGTAATTTCTTTTTGGGTAATTGAGCAGAGATATTATTTAAAATATGCCATATTTTCAACTGTATAATCTTTAGTGTAGAGGTCTCAGCCATACGTGTTTGTCTTGCACGAATGTTTGGGTTTTTTTCCATTTGAATTCATTGCCAGCATTTAAAATATTAGGAGACTATTATAAAAACCAGATTTTGGGCTTCCCTTGTAAAGTGGGGAGCTGTGGGTGTTGTGTAGAGCTTATTAGACTCTGAAGTCTAGTTACTCAGGTTTGAATCCTAGTTCTTTGAAACTAGATGGGTGATTATGGATAAGTTAGCTTCTCTGGGCCTCAGTTTTCTCATCTGTAAAATGGGTTTGTTTTGGGGTAAAGGCGATCAACAATTGGTATAAGTTTAGCAGTGTCCAGCATTTATTGAGTGCTCAGATTTCGGAATCATGAATAGTTCCATATCAAAATGCTAATAGATGTCTCTCACAGTGCTCACCATAGGTGTTTTCTCTCTTTCAGCCAAATGATTTCTCAGTGTCCCTGAAAGCACAAGGGAAAAACAAGCACTTTAAAGTCCAACTGAAAGAGACTGTCTACTGCATTGGGCAGCGTAAATTCAGCACCATGGAAGAACTTGTAGAACATTACAAAAAGGCACCAATTTTTACAAGTGAACAAGGAGAAAAATTATATCTTGTCAAACATTTATCATGATAACTCCTGACCAGAAGTGACTGCTGCACAGCGTTAATTTGTCATGTAATTAAAGACTGAGAAAATACTGGTCCAGCCATGTTTGATTGGATGTTACTGTTTCTAACTGTATGAGAAATGACTATACTACATGCATATTTTTATTATAACTCAGCATATACATGTATGCTATGTATGCAGAGTATCTGATAAAGCAATTGTTTATTCTTAGTCTGTTTATTGTTTTCTCCACTGTTCTTTTTTCTCCTTCTAATATTAGGGTTTTTATATTTTTTAAGAAGCCAATGCCAATTAGAGAACTTTACATAAAAAGAATATCTTTCATGTTTTTCATTTATTTCCTTGCTAGCGCACCCTAATGATAAAACCATGGTTTTCCTTCAGATAAATAAATTCTTATATTGATATATGGCATATGCTAAAATAAAAGTCTTGGAGAGTTCATCTTTTCTGTGACTGAATAGCAATAATAAATGGAAAGAAATTATTTTAAAGCATTGTATTTGTCACAGGTCATTGTAAATACCAAATATATTGTGTTTACCATTATAATAAAAGGTCCATTTGTTGTCTTCAATATAAAGTTAGACATTGGACAGAGACCAGGAGTACATCTTGTAAAATTTTAATTCCCAACTGTTGGAAACAAAATCACTGAATTCTTAATATTCATGGTGCTTTTCTCTCATCCTGCTATTCAGGGGAACAAAGCAATTTCTGTGAGATACTTAGTTTTGCAAACTGTAAGTGGGAGCTCTAGTGTATTTTGGGTTTTTTTCACCCCCTTCTTTCTAAGTTACTTTACCAAAGCATTCTTGTATTAGGGCATGTTTATGCCCATGTGAAATATGCTATGGCCAAATGTGGAAATAGAGGCAGTGGGATACTTGCTTTCCTTTATGTTTTTAAAATTTTATTGGGGACTCTCACAGGTCTTACAACATTCCATACATCAATTGTATCAAGCATATTTGTACATATGTTGGCATCATCATTTTCTAAACATTTGCTTTCTATTTGAGCCCTTAGTATCAGCTTCTCCCCTGCCACCACCACCCCCATCCCCC